CTGGTTCCTCTCTTGGATAAGGATAAGGAAAGCTGCATGGAGGAGATCCTGAAGCTCAAATCTTTACTCAGCACCAAGAGAGAGCAGATAGCCACTCTTCGACTGGTGCTCAAGGCTAACAAACAGGTGAGTATGGAAACGTGATGGTTAAGTTATTATAGGCAACAATATTTCAATAATTTTCCATTGCTGACATTTCCCTACGTGTATTTAACAAAAAAGTAAAACCCCTCAGAGAGTTTTAAGCATTCCCGGGCTGCAGTCCTCTGTTTGGACAGCTGCAGTGACCTGTCCACTGCCCGCTGTAGGTGTTTCACCTGGGGAGGAGACAGGAGCAGATAAGAAAAAAGGAAACCACTGGAGGTGTCACATCTTATGCCGGAAGAAAAGAAGGTGGTAGAGAGGAGGAACAACGACTGACACTATATTGCCTAAAGTATTTGCTCATCTGCCTTCACACGAACATGAATTGGACCATGGACCATGTCACCACTACTCTAGAGTCCAGTGGTGGCGTGCTTTATAGCATTTGAATTGTGTTTGGTGATGTAAGGCTTGGATGTAGCTACTCGGCTCTCTACACACTGTTCTTGAGCTAATCTTTACACCACATGAAGTTTGGAGGTCTGCAGCGATTGACTCGGCAGAAAGTTGGAAACCACAGCCACTATGCACCTCAGCATCCGCGGAGCCCACTCTGTGATTTTATATGGCGTACCACTTTATGACTGACTTTCTGTAGATCCCGATCGCCTCCACTTTGTTATGTACCACTAACAGCCGCCTGTGGGATATTTAATAGCGAGGACTTTTTCTTTAAAAAAATGTTTGTAGAAGCAGTCTGCATGCCCAGGTGATTGATTTTATACACCCATGTTCATGGAAGTATTTGGAACACCTGACTGCTTGTAGGGATGAGAAAAGACCTTTGGCAATATAGCAGCACATCAGGAGGTACAGGCAGATGTACCTGGTCTCTAATGATGGCGCTGAGGTTGTAGATGTTCATGGGCTCCCTGCGCAGCTCACCAGCAGGCTCCATGGCTGGCGATGAAGATGACGATGACGATGAAGAGGCACTGATGCTAGATGAGCGGGTTGGAGGTGTGCTAGGTGGCAGGCTCTGCTCAGATGGCACCTGAAGGACCTCTTTCTCCACTCTTCGGCTCCCTCCATGTAAGGGCTCTTTGGATGGAGACTCCGAGGGCGTCCGCGACTCCCCTGGAGTTGAGGTTGTTGAAGCAACAGCAGCAAGCCGTCTGGCTAGGCGTGGTGTGAGAAGAACTTTGCTGTTGTCTGTACACATGGCTTTGAGACTAGAACTAAGGCCCCTGAGGCCCCTGCCTTGTCTGGAAGAATAGAACAGATAATAGAACAGAACCTTTAGTGTCATAGGTGCTTTAAACCTGTTCTTTCTCAACTAAGACATCAAGTACAAGAAAGCAAGCAAACAGCTCAATGCTCACCAAACCCTCACCCTTAAGCTCCCAGGCCTCTCGTAGATGATATTATTTTTTAAAGAAGTTTTTATAGAACAGACAAACACACCTATAATGTGAGTCGTTTTATTTATTATTTGTATTTCCATGGATACTCTAAGAGCAGTAAAACAGTCACACCTGTAGTAATCCAGCATGACACGGTTGGGCGTCTCATCGTTGCACAGGCAGACATGGTGGTAGAGCTGGGCGAGCTCCTCACTCAGGGTTACCAGCTCGTCCTGAGCTGCGTTCAGTGCCCCTTGGCTCTCATTAGCTGCTGACTGAACAGCCTGCAATTCAAACTCCAGGCTACAAATCTGAAAAGAGAGGAGAAGGAAATGAGAAAAAATTAACATATGCACAACTGTTAAGTACCTGGGACACATAAATAAAGTGTCCCAGGTACTTAAATTTAATAATCGAAATTTTAATCATATACGTAATAATTTAAATATGAATGTTGCAAAAACTTATTTTTACTCAATGATCATCTCTCATATGGACTATTGTTTGACATTCTGGTCACTTGCTTGTCCAACAACACTTAAAACTATTGAAAACATTTATAAAAGAAGTTAAAAACTACCTGACAAAAAACCGACTTCCCACCACCACTGTCATGTGTTAAAAAAAAACATAAATTACTGAACTTCAATAACTTAGTGAAACTTAAAAGAGTGAGTTTAATATATAAAGTCTTACACTCCCTTGCTCCACCACCACTAAAGCAGTTCATTAGGCATAAAGAAAGCTCAGACAGGACCACTCGAGCTACAATCCGAGGAGACTTGTTTATACCCCACAGACGGACAGCATTTGGGCAGAACGTCCTCTCTGTTAAGGGAGGCCATCTGTGGAACAGTCTTCCTCAACCCATTAGAGAATGCTCTACACTCAATTTGTTTAAGGCAAAGGTTAAAAACTGGTTATGGACAAATCAAGTGTGTGATCATGTATGAGTTGTATAGTTTTAATGTTTTATTTGGGAACAGAATGGTGTGTATGTGTAAGTTTGGTGATGGAGTTTTTATTACGAATGAATGATGAATTTTTATGAATTATTATGTCTATTTTTTTATGTTTAAGGACAACAGATGGAAATTAGCCTTTGGCTATAATCTGGCATGTTTACATTCATGTAATTTTTTTTTTTTTTACATTTGTTCATTAACATGCACTGTCCTAAATAAATAAATAAAAAAACAACAACAAAAAACTGAAATTGTAGTCCCCCAAAAAACAAAAAGCAGAATATTGATTGATGTCCCAGAAGTTCAACACTAGCTGTTTCTCAGTGAAATCCTTTCTCTTTCTTGGCTCTTGGTGGAGGTGGACGCATCTTTTTCCCCTCTCCCTCCCTTACCTTTTCCCGCTTGGCTTTTATGTCCTTGTCAAGTCTTGTCTTGAAGTTCTCCAGAGGCCTGCTAATGTACTAATCATTTGATTCAGGTGTGTTGACACAGGGTGATATCTAAAACCTGCAGGACACCGGCCCTCGAGGCCTGGAGTTTTCTACCCCTGAGTTAAACAAACCCTTCTCATTGCTATGAGCTGAAGGATAGTTGGTATATTCCAGTCTGCTCCTACCATTACCACTGAGCCTACTCTTTACCACTGATATCTGTGCTTCACCCACATTATTGTAAGTGCTATGAGGACACTGAGTAAAGTAAGGGGAGAAAAGCACTTACAATAATGTGGGTGAAGCACAGATATCAGTGGTAAAGAATAGGCTCAGTGGTAATGGTAGGAGCAGACTGGAATATACCAACTATCCTTCACTTAGCTGTTCGTAACCAAATGCTGTTCCCTTCAGAACAGAGATAATGAATGTGTCACCCTGTTACTCAGTATCTGAGAACTGGAATAGAGAACCATCTCTTTGCTTTCATTCAAACATACTGCATATCGGCTTCAGCTTTCATTCCCCATCTGTCCACTACCTTCATTTTCCTCCACCTATCTGTCAGCCGACTTCCTTATTCTCATGCACTATTCTTACAACTTTGCCAAATCAGTTTTCAGGTTTGCAGCCCGTTTGTTGCATGACTGCAGGAGCTGGTGTCACCAGCACTCTGTAGCTGACATCACCATCCTGCCTAAGCTGGTATAACCACTGTAAAAACCTATATAAATCTGTGAAGAGACAGCTGAACACTGTTTGAACTGAACACTCCTCTCAGAGAAAGACAACAGCAGCCACATTCATTGGAAAGCAATAAGTGATACTTTCACATCCACCTGTCCTCCCGCAGCCACCAACCCCAAGTCTGATAGACAGGGAGGCCAGTTCTCTCTGCAGAGGGCCTCCAAACACAATCCACTAGGTTTCATTCACTCAACACACAAATTAATGAAACTGGCAAAACTAATCATACCCTCACATCAAGTTCACAGTGTAAAGATAGAGAATGTGAAACATTCACTCTCACAGACTCACAGGAGAGGAGAGGAAACAGACTCTATGACAACAGGCAGTATGACTTTGTTACCTTATCCCGTCCCTCCCGGCAGTTCTTTTCCAGAGAGGCAACCTGCCTCTCCAGCTTCTGGAGCTGACTCCTTTGCCTTGGCTTCTCCTCCACAGCTCCCTCCACACACTGAGCAAGCTTCTCATGGAGCACTTTTAACTCTGCCTTGAGCTCCACCACCTCTGTCACAGCCACACGGTACTTGCACTGCAAGATCTCCAGACTGGGAGTTTGGTATGAAAATACCAGACTTTTACTCTTCTCCTCTGCAGTTTCTCCTTCCTCCTCAGCCTCATCGTCTCTATCCAGCACCAGCAGACTTTCACAGTTGAGTTGAGAGGTGGGACTGCTACAAGCCTCCTGGCTGACCCTTCGATGAAGACAGCGGAGAGCAGAGACTTTCTGGCTCAGGCGGAGGGTCTTCTCGTGCTGCTCGGTTAGGGCCCCCTGGGTGTGCTGCAGCTGAGTCTGGGACTCCTGCAGGCTCGTCATCAGTGCTGCTTTCTCATGTTCAACCTGAAGAAGACAAGTGCATGATTAAGGAAAGCCATACCCCGCGTGACTTAATAAACTGCAGTTTCTGAGGTTACAGTGATGTCAACATAATCGTTGTAAGAAAGTAAAAAGATAACAAGAGGTGCAACCACAATCCCATTTCTGAAAAAAAACTGAGAGGCTGTTTAAATGAAAATAAAAACACAACATTTAAATGGGAAGTAATTCAGTGACAGTAGCACAGATATCACAATCTGAACATCTTCTGGAAAAAATCGTTTTAATATCTAAACATATTAAAAGGGGAAAACCAAAGGTTACGCTGCTACTGATGTGAAGATGTGAATTAGAACCCGTTCAGGAAGAAACTGTTCTGAGCCTGTACTTGTCGCCAAGGCCGTGTATACTTATGTCCATGTTTGACACCATCATCATCTAAGCGACACCTAGAAATGTTTCCTTGTCTGCCACCAGAATGAGATTGTCCAGCACTAATTCAAACTAAAGTTCATCAGCAACTGTGCAAACAAACGCAGAAGCAGCAAGCTGCAACCTGGAAGCCACTGGCTGTTGGTGGCTAAAGCATAGGTGGACGTTAGCTGTTAGCCTAGCCCTTATCTCACTGATATATTTCACATACATTCTTACTAACTGGGCTTCCTGGGGACCACAAGAACAATTTACTTTGAGAATCACACAGATGCACTGATTTCCAGTTTTCAGCCAGGAACAGTTATCCCAGAAGACCAATTATGAACCGGTGTGTTTCATGCACATTTTGTGCACAGCGACAAGCCACATGCTACACTGTTTGCATGTAAGTGAGTGAAGACATCAGTGCATCTCTAGTCATAACAGCAAAACGGGAATAATAGACAGATATATTTCTTCTTAAAGCATTATTAGTTATGTCATCCAAAGAAAAGCTGATTTTTTTGTTGTTGGTTTTTTGTACTTTTATTCAAAGTACATGCTACATTTTTCCTCAAAAGCTTATTTATCATCCTCACAGTTTTTAGTCATATTAAACAAACACTTTTTGTGCTCAGTTTAATCCCCCCAGGGTCAGTAAATCTCTCCAGTATGCTCTGGGTCTGCCACTTTTCTAGCCTAGAACGCCTCACCCACGAGATGCTCAGGAGGCATCCTGGTTCTCTCTATGAGGGGAAGTAGCAGCTCTACTCTAAGCTCCACACCCTACTTCAGAGGAAGCAAATTTCTGCTTATATCTATGATCTCATTCTTTCCATCTCCTGCTTCATTCACCCTTCACTCACGAACATCCTTAAATTCGTGCATTTTTGTGCTTTCCCGGTCTTGAACCACGGGCTCAAACTGGGAGGTGCTGATTCTCTTCACACCTGCTTCATACTCAGCTGCACAGCACTCCAGTGCAAGCTGGGGGCAGATGAACCCAACAGAACCATCATCTCCAAATAGCAGAGACGAGATCCTGAGACCACCAAACAGTCCACGCCTTGGCTGCTCCTAAAAAGCCTGTTCCTAAATGCCTTGAACAGAACTGGTGACGAAGCAGTCTGACTCACTGCTGGTAATGTGAAGCAGACTGGGTGCGGTTGTAGAAGTAAATTAATTTACTTTGACATAAACTATTACATTTATTAAACTGACTGTCTTCCTTAGTCTACATGTCAGGATGATATCATTGGAACTTACCGCTATCAGCTGCTGCTTGAGCTTCTGAATCTCTGTCAGGTTCATCTCAGTAAGGAGGTCTGATGTGGCGGCCCCCTCAGTTTTCAGACACTGCCTTCTGCACTCTCCATTAGCCCTGAGCGCTGAGCCCACAGCCGTCACTGGTCCTGAGCCACTCTGAAGGTGACCATTACATCTGGCAGATTAGAGCAGAAAGTGTCTTGTCACAAGCTATAGTGTCAATAACAGTAAGAAGAAAAGTTTTAAAGCAACTTCATGTAAGCAACGACCTTTGAACACAAGCAGCTGTGGCCAGTGACCAATTAGTAACTGCTGCACCCCCCCTTACTCTCCCATTTCCGCAGATTACAGTCTGAATGCACTGGGTCAAGGAGACAGGTCTGTGTGCCTGTGTTTGTAGGTGTGATATCCACCTTGTTGGCTCCTCTGTGTTTGGGGAGAGCAGAGTAGTTGGGGTAGCAGTGCCACTGGGCGGTGCTGAGGAGAATATTAGATTTGCACTCCCAGTGTAGGCCACATCACACATGCTGAGGTGGTGAACAAGTTCTCTTCGCAGGTGGTTCTTCTGCTCGCGCTCACTCTTCAGAGACTCCAGCGCCTCCTCCAGCTGGGCGTCTGAGATGTCCTTCAAACGCAGTGCATCCTGTAACTGGCTGGTCAGCAGCTCTGTCTCCTCCTCCAGAACTTTGATCTCATGTTTCAGGCCTTCATACTCCACCTGAACAAGAGTGGACATTCACATTCAAACGTATGAACCTTTATTTTGAGTTACTGCTACATTGTTTAGGTGATTAATATATATTAAAATCAAAATTGCTTTGAAATGTTTGTAAACACAATATATATTTATTCTAAACTTTATGCATATATTTTGTGCAATTGCAAACCTAAATACTTCAGCTTTACATACTTCAGCTTAGATAGGCATGTTGATGCCCAGAGTGACAAGTAGGTCCAACTTTGTAAAAAACACATTCCTCCTGCTGCTGGTATCACTCACCAGGCTAAGCAGGTTTTGTTACTGTGGTCACATGCCACAGTAGATTGAGGGCTGCTGATGCTAACAGACTCAATAAACTGATCTGCAAGGCCAGCAGTGTTGTGGGGATGGAGCTGGACTCTCTTAAGGTGGTGTCGGAGAGGCGAATGTTGTCCAAGATAAAGCCAATGTTGGATAATTCCTCCCACCCACTCCATGACATGCTGGCTAGCCACAGGAGCACGTTCAGTGAGAGACTGAGATTACCAAAAAGCACCACTGAACAACACAGGAAGTCATTCCTGCCTGTGGCCATCTCCCTGTACAACTCATCCACCTAACACACTGTATACTGCAATAGCTACACCCTTTTTGCACATGCTCTTCTTTCTTATTTAGATATTAATCAGTAAGTGACTTATATGTATATATTGTGCTATTTCTTACTTCCTGTATTGTCTGTTATTCTTACTGTTTGGACTGGAGCACTATAACCAACATAAATCCCCTAGGGATCAATAAAGTATTCTGAACATCTTCTCCTTGACAGTTCACAAATAAAGCCAAACCCCCACGTTTTGTTTTGCCAGTAGCTATCTCCCCATATGTGGGTGAAACCAGGCAGATCCACATTGGTCTCGGATGTACTGATTCAACCATGTTTCAGAAAAACATGAGTGAGCACCGACGGTATATGTGGTCGGGCGTGGCCTGCGGTGCCATGCAGCGAGGGTGGACGCACCTGCACGGCATCCTTAATCAAGCCCGCCGAGTTAAAACACAGGGACTCGGGGTTGGTGGGAGTTGTGGTGTGATGTGATTTAAATAAAATGGCTCAAAACTATGATCCCTGGACCCGCCGCGTCTCATTTACACCACAGTATACTTTCTGAGTTTTCACCAATATCTCTAGCTTATCACTTCTGTTGGGCAGAGCTGACATTTCTCATTATGACTGCTGCCAGAAAGGGGCTCTATCTCTGATTCCAATCCTTCACCTTTGCACCAGCACAGCAAACACAAAAACACCTCTTGTTACAGGCCCTGGCCTTGGAAGAAGGGAACCAGCCTCCCGTCAAGCAAATTAAAGCATGGTAACCCACACAGATGGTTTGCTGTTGGAACCTGTGGTTACTTCCGCGGGAAGTCTATTGAACCAGCTGAGGGACGCCGGACCAGTCAGCGACTGATTGGGCACAGGATGGTATCTTCTAGATTTGCTCCGTTTCAATGAAAGAAAAAAAAAATCATTGAATTGAATTTCATCAGCATAACAGTGATGGGAAATGTCCTCGAAGGGGCTCAACATATGTTGGAGGGGAAGAAGATATATTAAAAACAATAAAGGCCCCAAAACCGAACCTTGAGGGACACTGTAAGTAAGGGAGGTAGAGGATGACCTGAAATCAGAGACTGCCACAGAAAAAAAAAAAAAAATCGTGATGTAAATATGAGGAGAACCACTCCTAGTCATTTAACACTGAACAGGTAGAAAAACCAACCGTAGTGACTGACTGATTGAAGATTCTCCATAATACAATGTAGTGAATCCACAGACATTGGCCTGACAGTGGATGAATACTGAAATGCTGCACATGCTCAGCGTCTGACTAATCTTAATGCCTTACCTGTCAAACTGGAAGTTCCACAGGAAAGTGAAATGAATCGGAGATTATGAAGAAATCTCACCTTCACCCATATTCTAAATCACTTTGTGTGCTTCATTTCTTTTATATCCATATCTTTGGATTGTGAGAAAATACTAGATGACAAGGAGAAAATCTACAGACGCAGAAAGGCCCCGGAAGTTTTGGACCCAGGACCACCCTCCACCTGTTTGCTCTAACCTCACCACATATTGTCATCTGCGTGGGCATACCTGGTATATAGCTTTGACAGGCTTCTGACTCCCCTGCAATTGTTGCTGGTTAAGTGGGTAAGAACACTGACTAATGGATGGATTCTCAGAGTTCACTCAGAAAAGAAGTATACAGAAAGACAGAGGGCTGTCAGCAGCAGCTAGGGACATAGAAGGGTAATCTTTTCTTTGTGCTAGATGAATTGTGCTTCTTTAACTTTTGGACCTCTTAGTAGATAAGTACACCTTTGATTGACATCTGAGCCAGCAGGGAATATACGTAACTGTCTGGTAACTGTAGCTAATAAGTCAAAGACAACGCTAAAGTCTAATGACCTTCAGCATCATACATACACTTTGAAACAGTTTCACGACGTTACTTGAGCACTGTCTGTACCTGACTCTGTTTAAGGGTTGACACCAGTTTCTGCAGAGAGATGTTCTCCTCCTCCAGCTCGGTGTAGTCCTGGAGAAGCCGTGACTCTCTGAATTTGTATTCTCTGATCTCTTCTCGCATTCGGGTCCGCTGTAGCTCCAACATCTCATTGCTCTGCTAAGACAGCACAAAATGAGAGCTGGAGCTGCTTATGACACAGTTCTCACAAAGGAAGGTAATGTAACCAGTATTTAGAGTTTGCAGGATGAAATTTTTAAAAGAGGGAAGGTGAAGGATGGATTACAGTATATCTCCACACAAAACCATGAAAAACTGACATAAAAAAAAAGGGAGAATGAAGCTCATATACAGTCGTGGTCAAAAGTTTTGAGTATTTGCAATGTTGTCCCTTCTTTTTCAAGACCTCTGCAATTGGCCCTGGCATGCTGTCAATCAGCTTCTGGGCGAAATCCTGACTGATGGCAACCCATTCTTTCATATTCAACACTTTGAGTTTGTCACAATTAGTGGGTTTTGGTTTGTCCACCTGCCTCTTGAGGATTGATCGATCGCAAGTTCTCAATTGGATTAAGGTCTGGGGAGTTTCCTGGCCCTGGACCCAAGATTTCAGTGCGTTGTTCCCCAATCCACTTAAGTTATCACTTTGGCCTTATGGCACAGTGCTCCGTCATGCTGGAAAAGGTGTTGTTCTTCACCAAACTGTTGGATGGTTGGAAGAAGTTGCTGTTGGAGGATGTTTTGGTCCCATTCTTTATTCATGGCTGTGTTCTTTGGCAAAATACTAAGAGAGCCCAATCCCTTGGATGAGAAGCAGCACCCCACATGAAAGGTCTCAGGATGCTTTACTGTTGGCACGAGACAGGACTGATGGTAGCGCCTACCTTTTCAGATGCCCCAAACAATTGGAAAAGTGCTTCATCAGAGAAAATGTCTTCACCCCAGTCCTCAGCAGCCTACTCCGTGTACCTTTTGCAGAATATCAGTCTGTCCCTGATGGTTTTTTTGGGGAGAGTGGCTTCTTTGCTGCCCTTCTTGAACCCAGGGCATCTTCCAAAAGTCTTCGCCTCCCTGTGCGTGCAGTTGCACTCACACCTGCCTGCTGCAATTCCTGAGCTCACAGCTGAATCATCTTTAGGAGACAGTCCTGGCCGTTGCTGGACTTTCTTGAGCGTCCTAAAGCCTTCTTCACAACAACTGAACCTCTTTCCTTGAAGTTCTTAAAGAGCCGATAAATGGTTGATTTACCTGCAATCTTAGTAGCAACAACATCCTTCCTTGCCTGTGAAGCCCTTTTTATGCAGCACAATGACGTGTTTTCTTGTAGGTAACCATGGTTAACAGGAAGAACAATGATTTCAAGCCTCACACTCATTTTAACAATTCCGGTCTGCTTTTCTATTTCAGTCAGCATGACATAATGAGCTTCAGCCTTGTGCTCGTCAACATTTTCACCTGTGTTAACAAGAAGATTATTGAAAGGATCTCAGCAGATCCTTTTATGGCAGCGATGAAATGCAGTGGAGGCTTTTTTTGGGATCAAGTTCATTTTCATGGCAAAGAAAGACTTTGCAGTTCGTCAGATCGCTCTTCATAACATTCTGGAGTAATGAAATCATAGCAAATTGCCATCATAAAAACTGAAGCAGGAAACTTTCTGAAAACCAATGTTTGAGTCATTCTCAAAACTTTTGGTCATGACTGTATGTAAAGGGTTTTAAAGCTGTTTTTAAAGTCTGGTTATTCTGAAGTCTCTGACAAAACAGCCCTTCCAGCCCCTTGTCCATGAACTCGGTAGTCACTTTCCTGATGAGAATGTGATCGAATTTCAAGTCTTACTAAACATGCCATGATCAGGATTTTGATGACACTTTAAAAACACTCTATCAAGTTATCCATAAACGTCCAGAGTAAGTGTCTCTATTAAATATGAGAACCTTATGATTGTACCGTACCTCCCTGAGCTCCTGCAGCAGGCTGCTCAGGTGCTCGCTGTCAGCCTGCGCACTGGAGGCAGCCACTCGACTGTGATTCAGTTCCAACTGGAGCTCCAGGAGACGACCCCTAAAGTAGGCCTCCTTGGTGGCAGACTCCTGCAACAGTGTCTCCTCATTGTTCTCCCCGTCCTCTGCGACCTTACGCTGGGTGGAGTATGCCTGGCCGAATGCCTGGAACAGGACAGGAGGGGAAAGGATTATTTCTCTTGACTTTACCTGGGGAGAAATGTACAAAAATGAAAGTCCCTTTCACCTTGTATAAATGATACATGAGTGATTAACAAGATTTTTTTTATCCTTTATTTTTATATTGTTTCATGTACTTTAACGCAATTAGTAGAGACCAAAGTAATGCATGCCAGATAGAATAGAAAAGTGCTACATGAGAACCGGTCCATTTAACTATCTATTTATTATTTACCATCCAGAGTAAGTATCTGATTAGTGGCCATATTTCTAAGATTTTTAGGGCCTAGTACAAGAACCTCTGTTTTATCTAAATTTAGAAGCAGAAAATAAAAGGTCACACAGCTCTTTTTTGTCTCTAGGACATTACTTCAGTTTGACTAATTGGTATTTGATATCTGGCTTCATGGGCAGATAAAGTTAGGTATCATCAGTATATGCTATGTCTTCTAAAGGAAACGTATGTAATATAAACAGAACTGGTCCTAGCACTGAACCCTGTGGAACTCCATAATTAACCTTAGTGTATAAAGAGAATTCTGTATTTACATGAACAAATTGGAGTCTGTTAGATCAATATGATAAAAACCACTGCAGCACAGTACCTGTAATACCTACGGCATGCTCTAATCGCTTTAATAAAATATTATGGTCAACAGTATCTGACGCTGAACTGAGTTCTGGCAATGGTTTAACTACTGCCGTGAGCCTTCAGCAAGTGACCTAATTTAAACATTGTATCAGACTAAGTTAACAGTTCCTCTGTATGTTTTAATGCAGCCTTACTTCTGTACATTTACTGTATGAAACAAATGGCAGTGGATGGAGCAGCTATGAAGTTCACTTTTCTTCACATTCCAATTTGTTGCAAAAGTGATTTTTTTATAATAAAGCTATTCAAATTATTCAAATCTTTGCAGCCCTAGATCAATCCATCTCTGTTAAGAATTGTTAAAATGAGTGTGATGCTATTACTAAAATAACTGATAGCTACAGCTCTAGATTGATGATATTTAAGATTGAAGCATTAATTAATGGTAGGACTTTGATGAGCAGTC